GAATGAACACTGGGCCTGTCTCGGTCTGGGCACTGAATGAGATTTCTGGCTTTTGAAACAAACAAGATTTCTTTCTTTTGAGATGGTCTCACTCTGTCGCCAAGGCTGGAGTGCAGTGGCGTAATCTTGACTCACTGCAACCTTTGCCTCCCAGGTTCAAGTGATTCTCTTGCCTCAGTCTCCTGAGTAGCTGGGATTATAGGCGCGTGCCACACCTGACTGATTTTTGTACTTTCAGTAGAGAGGAGGTTTTGCCATGTTGGCCAGGCTGGTCTTGAACTCCTGACCTCAGGTGATCCACCCTCAGCCTCCCAAAGTGCTGGGACTACAGGTGTGAGCCACTGCACCTGGCCAAATCAGACAAGGTTTAAATCCCAGCTCTGCCTGTGCTAACTGTAGAACTCTGCACACATTCCAGGCCTATGTTCTCACCTTTAATGTGAGGATAATACACCCACTTCACAGACACCTTGTGTGTTGTCCCCAAGTTTCACAGCAGCCCTAGTGCTGTACCTGAGACGTAGCAGGTGGTCAGCAACACCCTCTAGGCTGTGGTCATGTGTCTGGAGATTGTTCCACAGGCCTAGTGTGGGGCCAGCTCCATTCAGAGAAGGCCTTGTGGGGTGGCATCGGGCAGGGGCTGGGGCACCTCCCTGTTAAAATGCTTTGTAACCGTCTATGAGGCACCAGCCAGAGTGGCCCCCTGGACTGGAGAAAAATCCTGAGTGGCTTCCTGCTTCAAGCACTGGTCTCCAGCGAGGGAAAGAGCAGCTTACAGGAAACTATAAAGGAGCGTGGCCCTCGGGGCTCTGAGAGTCAGCAAGTCATGACACCTCTTTGGCTTCGGAACGTTTTCAGCTACGAGGGGACATTTCCGAGGACCTCAGAGACCTCTTCCAGCTCAGACCTTCCTTGACTCTGTCTCCCAGGGTCACTGTTGTAGGAGTGTACACAAGTTTATTTCTGTTTTGAGATGGAGTTCGCTCTTTGTCACCCAGGCTAGAGAGCAGTGGTGTGATCTCAGCTTACTGCAACCTCTACCTCAGCCTCCCAAGTAGCTGGGATTACAAGTGCCCATCTCACTTTTGTATTTTTAGTAGAGATGGGGTTTTGCCATGTTGGCCAGGCTGGTCTTGAACTCCTGACCTCAGGCTGATTCCCCCAACTTGGCCTCCCAAAGTGCTGTGATGACAAGAGTGAGCCACCGTGCCAAGCCACCAGTTTACTTTTCTTGCAGGTTATCACAGAACATGTACAATCTAGAGTCTAATCAACCAGATCAACGTGTTGCCATCTGAGTTTGCTTGTGAACGGTACTCAGGGTCCCGGAACTAACTGTGGGGTCCAAACCACACTCGGTGAGACAGGCCGATCCTGATGCGTCAGAGCCCCTCACAGCTAAGGTTCCTTTAGTCGGGCAATTTTCAACAACTTACTGTGGGGACACAGCATGGTCCCACTGTCTTTCTGGTCTCAGAATATTTCATTCATTTCATTCCAGGGCAGTGGGTAACAAAGTTTGACTCCAGAAAGACTTCCCTGGAGGATTTCCACTTGGATGAAGATAGGACTGTGAGGGTCCCCATGATGTCAGACCCTAAGGCTATTTTGCGCTATGGCTTAGATTCTGATCTCAACTGCAAGGTCTGTGGGGACAGGGAGGGTGATGGGGGCAGGGGGGGTGGTGGTGGGGGGAGGGGACAGAGAAGCAGAACAGTGTAGTGGAAACAGAATGACCTTTTAGACCTGACAGCTGTGTATATTCCTCCTGCTGTGTTACTTTGAGCAGGTTAATAAGATCTCTGAGCCATTCCTCTTCTTAAGATGGGGGGCCGGGTGTGGTGGCTCACGCCTATAATCCAAGCACTTTGGAGGCCAAAGTGGGTGGATCACCTGAGGTCGGGAGCTCAAGACCAGCCTGACCAACATGGTGAAACTCCGTATG